TGACGATTTAACTAAGTAAAAGGCTTTCGCAGAATTCAATAAACTGAATGAAACACAATAGTGTTTTCAAATATATACTAAGGTGTCCAGCCAAATTTCATAATTAGCGTTGCATGGTCTTCGGCAGCTACTGTATGTTTACAGCACCGACAGTAGTTATTCGCTCTATTCTATCATAAACCATTGTTGGTACACGTTTTTGATTGTTCTACAGCTGACAAGTGCATCACTGAGGACACTGAAATCGTTGGATATGCCCAAGTCGGTAAGCAAGCCAAACAATATGCGACATGTTTTCCAAACATGCACTGTTTGGTATATGTAATCGGTCGTTTACGTGTTCAAGCTATTTCACCTCTGTGTTCTATTATTTGAACAGCAAACGACAGATCTCTTGCCAAAACCATGACCGAAATCCGAGAGGGTCCTAAAGCTCGTAAGCGCGTAAATTAAAATTTTGCATTCACATATTCATTGAATTTTCTGAGGTAAATTCAAAAAAATCGATCAATTACTTTCTCCAGTGCAATACATTCCTAAGACAACGAGTAACGCCGTGGGCAAAGATTTCCCTGAAGGTAAGCTTTATTGACCTCACCCCATTTCATATACACATAATTTTTTGTAATGCAGACATTCGGTTTGAGCTAATTTTGAAATTATTTGGCTGTTTGGTTTTTCTCAAGAGGTTTTGCATTTTGAGAGGTAAACTAGGACAGTAAACTTATTTGTACACATATGGAGGTTTATATGACACGTCAGGAAAATACTTATTTTATATATTCCAGTAACTAAATGCGCCTATATAGGTTTCGCTATTATGCTAATGACGTCAGCTCACAATTAAGTATTTGTAAATTACGATGATGTGCTCAATGCTTTCAAATATACGGCACACATTGAAATGGTATTGCTAATAAATATTTTACTATTTAAATACCGGTTTTACTATTGCTTAAGTTTATTAAATTTTTTTCATAGTACTAACTACTAGATATGAGAGATAAAATTGCAACAATACCTACGTAAAGTACTTTTCAATTTCCTTCGATATCAGTGGAAGAGAAGCCGTTCGTATGTGAAAAAGAGAAGATGGATATGCTGGTGACGACAGGTAAGTAGTTGCTTTCGGTTTACATTTCATCTTTCGAGTAACCTGAACTCTTTCATGTGTGGAGAAGCGCGAACACCGTTTTTCATACGAAAGTGAAATCATCGCTACCCAAAGCTTTATCCGATTCAATATAATGTTGTTTGTATTTCTATTGATACAACGAGAAAAAAGAATAGGCACTTACCATGAAATCATTATCTGCTTTAGGAGACTTTCGTGAACGAGGGGTGAGTGCTCATGGCTTACCTTAACCAGAACACATTACAGAGATTTAGGCTTGACGCACTTTTGACGTTTGGTCTCCATTTGCAAAGACTAAATTTGTGTCGATTTAGCAGTGCTCATAAGTCAGTATACTCATGTGCTATGCTTGTCCCTCCGCAATATCATCTATTTAATAAAACTATGTCCAGCTGCTTGTGAAAAAACCTTCTATAAACAAAATACTTAGTAAGTTTGCAAAACGATATCGTTTATTAGGCATATAAATCAATAACAAGTGAGAAGTTTTAGCTGTGTTTTTATTTAAAACACGTATAGGAGCACAAAGGTTTCCGGGGGCTTAAAAATATCAAATGGGGCATACAGTTTCACTGGTGATTACAATAAACAACCTAAAAGGTATATCGTTTCCATTTTAAAAATAACGCATCATTCTAAATTTTTACGGTAAAATGAAACCCACTGCATATTTATTAAACAGTGCGGCTTAATTTACACACAAATGTTTTCTGGTCAGCCTTTATATATGTGCAAACATACGCGTAATCACGAAATGCGTTCAGCTAAAAAAATGACCGCTTTTAAAGTACCTTCTAGAGAACACAGTTTGCCACATTTGTATTGATTGCACTTCAAAGGGAGAGCGCATGGCATATCAAGATTTCTTTTTATCGATTTTTTTATGAGAAGGCTGAAAATATCGAAAATTAGCGGTCACTATTTCAGAAATAACTAAAATATGTTGCGATTGGCCTACATGGTAATCAACAGTGTAACCTGTGTATGTTATCTTTTATAATGGATTTCACCTGTTCACCCTCACTGGCAGTTTAGAAGGATATGTGGTCGAATGTAAAGTTAACACTTAACCGTCAGATTTGCTAATTAGAAAACTCACTATTTAGGTAGCTAGCGTTTGCAGGGATTTCAATTATACCATCACGTACATAAGCCTGTTGTATGCTTCAGACATTTAATGAAACTGATGATTTATCAGCAAATTACCTCAAACGAACAAACATTATGCCAAATTCCTGTATGTGCACAATTTTATATTATGTAATCTGTTTAACGATTGCCTTTGCTCCAGGAGCCTCAGTTGATATTCTGCGTAATTCTGCTCTAGGATTGTATTAAAATAAAAAAAATTAAATAAATCCGTTAGACAATTGGCTAAACATCAGAATCACGGAACATCACAAAGAACCTGAGTGAATTTGCGCTGCATTTAATTGTAAAATAGAAACTCGGCTCAATAATGGTGATTATTCAGGGTTTAAAATAGTCAATTCAAGGAATTCACTGGGCCAATGTCCGAATGTCAGAATGAACTTACTGCAGATTTCCTAGTCATTTTCCTTCAAAACGCAATCACTGTTATCACCTCTGTCATAAAGTAGTTATTTGAAACCAGGTGGAATTCAACTATCCTAAAAAAACAATAGCAAGTGGTCCTACGTAAGCAAATACATTTCTTCCACTAAAATCTAACATTTTAGCGTTCAACTATTTATCAATCCTTTCATAGTTAATATTTTCGTACCTAGGTATGAAGGGCTTGAC